CCCTGAAAGTCTTTGTATGATTTGGATTGTTAGTGAAGTCTAAATATTAATCTGCTCAGGTTTGCTTAGTAATTACGTTAGCTGTGTCATTTTTTCCGTCGTTTCTTAGGTTTTATTTCTCATTGCTGTCTTCTTCTAGAGTTCATCAGTGGGTTTCCAAATAATTGGTGAAGGAACAAAACCAGTTTCATAGTCATTTGAAGTTACGTGGAGTGTTTACACAGACCTTTCCTTAGAAACATGTTCTAAACATGAAGTAGTCAAGGCGATCCGATAATCTCATGACGCTGTGAAGGGATAGTTGCTTCAGGATTTGTGAAATTATTTAACTCTTTATTTTTATTTTTCTGGTTTGATACATTTCATGCATCTCATTACACAAATTACACATATTCCATTAAAATAAGCTTTAGGAGACAGGTTGCTGGAAAGGGAAGGAGAATCCACTTTTTATTTTTGCAGTGACTTTCAGGATGACACAAGATCCTTGTTTAAGGGTAGGACTAGACTTTTTTTTTTTTTTGGCCCCTTATGGCCATTAAATAATGCTACCTTTAACTCTGTCTTTATTTGGTCTCCCAAAGTGTGATCCATAATCACAACAGGATAACCCTAGACATTTCTCAGCAGAAAACCTCATGGCACCTTCCCTGTTGGAAGCTTTGTCCAAATAGTTTGTCCATCTGGTCTTTGCCCTGTTTATTTTAGAGGGACTATTTGAATAATTCATTTTAATAGTTTTCAGATGCACATTGGTTTGATTTTAGTTCAAACTGTATTGCAAGAGATGAGAGAGGAAAAGAGACAGGAATAAGAAGTTCTGTCAACGTTTTTATAAAAAAGGAAAGTCAACACACTGAGCCGAATGTGGGTTGTGCTCACTCAGGGGCACCTCTGGAGTCCCTCTTGCACACCAGCACTGTGCTAGGACCTGGGGGGCCGGAGACACAGAAGATGCGCTCTCTCGCCTCAGGGGGCTCACAGTCTAGTATGAGAAAAAAGGTGAACTTACACTTCAGTGTGCTAAGTCCCTGGTCAGAGCTCAGGTTGCCAGGTCAATATTGAGAAAATGGAAAAAGAGTGTTCACCAGCCCTGGGGGTAACCAGGGAAGGTTTCTGATAGAGATGACAACAAAGCTGAGATCTAAAGGCCAGGTAGGAGTTGGCC